CCCCCCCCCTCCATAGAAGGGAAAAAAAAAAAAATCCCGTGAAAACGTCCAGCCTCAATTCCCATCCATTCCCAAGCCGGCCCCGCTTTGTCCCATTTTTTTCCATCCTTTCCCCCCCCCCCCCCCCCCCCCCCCCCCCCACGAGGCGCCGCCCCCCCCCCCCCCCCCCCCCCCCCCCCCCCCCCCGACCACCACCGTCCCCCACCATCCTGGGTATCAATTCCCATCTGATGCAGCAACCCCGGGGAAGGAGGGATGGCTGGGTTTGACGGGAAGAGAGAACAAAGCCCCGGGAAAGTAAGATTTGGGAGGGGGAGAAAAAGAAAAAAAAAAAAGAAAGAAGACAAGTGGGGAAAAAAAAAACATTTTGATATCCAGGAGCAACCTGGTCGATTTGAATTTAAGTACAAGGACTTAAGTGTCCCTTTGATTCCAGTGTTTCGGTTTAATGGCCTTGTGGAGGGTCTGAGCTGAGTCAGAAAAAGGCCCCTTTTTTAATCTCCTACCATCTTAACATAGTAAAGGTCGGAAACCCCAGAAGAGCGCTGAACTTTTACTTTGTAAGTGGCTGGCCTCTCAATCAATCAATCAATCAATCAATCAATCGATGGGTCCGCTTTCTCTTCGGCGAGGTCAGCTTTTGTTCCGGGCAGAAGTTCCCAGGCAAGTGCATCCTGGTGGAAGTCTGCAGTCTTTCTCCCAGGTGTGCGTCTTCCAGGCCATTTCTCTCGCTCTGATCTTTTTTCTCCCTTGCGAAGCCATCCACCTCTCTTGTCCTTCACCACTCAAGGATGCAATTATAAGGCAGGCCAGCGAATGGCTCGGACGAGAAATTGCGTGTGGCAGGAGGCAAATGGGGCTTGAAGTCGAGTTCCGTGTTTGCGAGCGTCTGCGGGTGACCTTTACATGTTCTCCTACCCAGCGTCTTATCAGCTGGTTAGGTACTTTTCAGCTTAGGTAATTGGTTTATTTCATCACCATAATAAAATGGGCAGAGACGGTGAAAGGGGGCGTTCAGAGAGGGCTTCTGATCTAGCCTGGCTTGCTCTTCAGCTGGAAGGGCCAAGACATTAAAATATAAATATATATATATAGATTAGAATAGAGTCGGAAGGGACCTTGGAGGTGTTCTAAATACATTTAAATGTTAAGTCCAACTTTGCTTAATAGTTTTGTGGCTGCATCCGAGATTTGGTATTTTTGCAGAACTCTTTGTGCGTCATTTCCTAGTATGTGACCTGGGTTTTATGATGAAATACATCTTTAGGAAAAGGGACTTCAAAATGTAAAACGTTCTTGTTAAAGATACGTGTGCATTTTATTAATTTTGGGACAAGCCTGTTAAAGCGTATCCGATCCCTGGAAGCTTGTCTTCAGAAAATGCGAACTGTTACAGGGCAAGCTGTTTAGGAGAAACCTAAACCCAAAATTGCTGATGGACTGAGAAAAGCCGTCGTTTTTTTTCTTTTTCTTTTCAAATATAGTCTTTTCAGTTATTCTGTTCCTCAGGATAAAGCAACCTGGCAAGATTTTGAGTTCAATTTCAACCAGATTTTCAATTCCGCTTTTGTTGAGGCCGTTTATCATCATCAGGGCAGACCTAAAAGCCCAATTATTTATTTATTGTAAGCTAGTGCTTCAGGCTTGGCGTTTTTTCTTTTTCTTTTGGGCTGGAAAAGCAGCAGAAAAAAAATGTGTGAATGCTGTACATGCATGAGTCACTCAAAATAAAACTGTTGGATGTTCCCTGTGTCTCCCATTGCTTGGTTTTAAAAAAATAAAATAAAATAACAGGGACAGAAGATTTAGCAACTGGAAGAGAGAGAGAGAAAGAGAGAGAGGGAGGGAGGGAAGAGAGGGGGGAGGGACAGAGGGAGGGAGAAAAAGAGAGAGAGAAAGAGAAACCCACAAGTTTTGAAGCAGAGAAGGGCATTTGAAAGGCAGAAGCTCTGGCTGCGAAATGAAAGGGTTTGCTCAGCTGAGATGGGAGATATGGCCAGTGTTAGATGGGCTCGTGCAAGAGAGAGTAACGCTCAGCCAGCCAGCGGAGGAAGTGATAGCACAAAGTGCCTGTGATACGGGCAGAAGAGGAGGGGGCGAGGATCTGGTTGCAAAGAAAATGGGAACCGATCTTGACTTTAATTTTGTGACTTTGCAACGAACTCTCTCCTGTTCCTTATCAGAGGCAGCAGGTCCCTGAACTGGGTAATTGCATTCTGCTTTAATCAATAGCTGGACTAAATCTACTTTCTAGGTCGGGGAGGGTAGGGTGTGTTTTTCTGTCCCTCCCCCTTCTCCACTGCTCCTTCCCTTCCCTACTTTACACACCCTTCAGGCCGCAGAACTGGAATTAAGGGCGTGGGGCAGCCACTGGGACCAGAGGTATGACAGGAAATTGTCTTCAAACCAGCCTTCGGTTGGGTATTAATTAGAGGCTCTTGCAATTCTGGAGTTTGGAAGGAAAGGGCTAGCGTCCTGGGGTTTGTCCAAGGCCTTGGGGCTTGTAGGCTCATTAGATGGTTTTAAACATACGTAATACTCCTTCCCTCCTCCCATGTTCCCCACAACAACAACCCTGGGAGGTGGGTTGGGCTGAGAGAAGGGGGAGTGGCCCAAAGTCCCCCAGCTGACTCTTTCATTGAACTCCCTGTCAATGGTGATTGGCCCAAAAGTCCTCCAGAACTCACTGCCTCCTGGTGATTGGCCCAAAGTCCTCCATTGATGGAAGCCATTCTCTCTGTAGAAAAAGAGGCATATGCTCATCAGAATAAGACATTCTGCACATGCTTAAAAGTGCTGTGTTTGGCATTTCCATTTCTATTTGCAAAGCAAGTGACCTAGTCTGTTGGGTTTCCTTCCTTCCTTCCTTCCTTCCTTCCTTCCTTCCTTCCTTCCTTC